TGAAAGTAGATAAAAATATGATAAAAGTAAATCAATCAGACTCTTAAGTGTCTTTCATACTTGTAAAATTTTAGACTTGCAAGGGTTTAGTAGTTAAATTAAAACATACCATAATAATTGGCTTCAGCTTGAGTATTAATAACCTTTACTTGTACAACTTATCTTGAGGGTATATATAGCTTTGGGTCTTCACAATTTAGTGTGGGCGCAAGTTGTACATAATAAGCCTCTAACTAAAGCACTGAATATAAGTGAGAGATAAAACTAGTAGTATTGCTTAATGAAGTTACTGAATGGTAATGCTACTACTGTTGATGTAGCTTCTAAGGAGCAACAAAAATTGTAAAAGTAGAGTTTCTGAAATGGTTAATAGTGAACAGGAAAGAAGGTGAAGTTGATTTCGATATTCAGAGGATGAGACTGTTAATAGGCATAATAATAATAATAATAATAATAATAATAATAATAATAATAATAATAATAATAATAATAATAATAATAATAATTATTATTATTATTATTATTATTATTATTATTATTATTATTATTATAATAATAATAATGATAATAATAATAATAATAATAATAATAATAATAATAATAATAAAAATTGATTTCGATATTCAGAGGATGAGACTGTTAATATTCTATGAAGTATCCTCATGCCAACAACAATTTGTGGGCTTGCATACTCTTGTTTGGCACCACTCTAGGCCTCTGGCACATGATTTCCTTTAATACTGCTCCTACAAATTGGGGCTAGACAACATATTCTTAATGAGGGCAGATGACATTCCCTTTCTTTCTAATGTGGAGGATCATACTTAATAATAAAAACTTGTCTCACTGCCAGTGTACAAAGAGGCATGCTTGAGGTGCTAAGGCACTAAATACATTTACAGATTATAATTGTTGTAATTTTTCCACAGTCAGACCTTTTATACATTGAGAGAAGATCAGTGGGAGAAAATTTATAGAGACTATATGTAGTGGTTTTATTAATTTTTCTTTACATTTTGGTAGAGACAAGCCTCTCAAAAAATGTCTTCTATCCTGTATCTTTTGTAAGTTTTGTATTCTAGGAATTAGAGGTTCTCTCCTCCCCCCCCCCCCCCAACACACATCCACTTACCCCACAACCCCTTTTACCACCTTTATTCCTATGTATGTGTATTATCTTGTAGATATGTCTTTTCACTAATGTTAATACTTGAATAAAAGATGAATATAAGGAAATAGAAAAGAAGACATGGACTGAATGGTACAGGGTTTTCTTTAAAATAATTAGGAGTATAGGGAGGAAAATATTGATCTCAAGTAGTCCTGTCCCTAAGGTAGGCATATGTCATGCACCGTGGAGTTTTCAGTTTCAGGTTTTCAAACACCAAACCTTGTATTAGTATCCTTCTCGATCCTCATCTAAATTTTCTTATAAAGTCTTCTCTATGTTTTGTATATGGCTTTCAATTTTGCATTATTTGACTTTTATGAGTGCAGAGTGCTATTTTTGATATCTTAAATTTTGATGTAACAAATTCTGGTGTACTGTATCTAGTTTCTGAACATTATCATAATCAATTTCAATTATTTGATTATTTGACAAATGAGCAAACAAATGGTTGCTCATTTCACAAATGAGCAAAAAAATGCTTGTTGATTAAAGAAATGTTTGCTCATTTGACAAATGAGCAACTAACTATTTGCTCATTTGACAAATGAGCAACTAAGTTTTTGCTCATTTGTTAAATTAGCAACTAAGTATTTGCTCATTTGACAAATGAGCAACTAAGTTTTTGCTCATTTGTTAAATTAGCAACTAAGTATTTGCTCATTTGACAAATGAGCAACTAACTATTTGCTCATTTGCTAAATGAGCAAAATATTGATTGCTCATTTCCCGAATTAAATGATCAAAGAAATGTTTGCTTATTTTACAAATGAGTAACTAATTATTTGATTATTTGACAAATGAGCAAAGTAATGGTTGCTCATTTTACAAAAATTTACCGGTTATAGATTTGCAAAACAATTCTTTGCTCATTTGTCAAATGAACAATTACTTTTAGCTCATTTGTCAAATGAGCAATTAATTTTTGCTCATTTGTCAAATGAGCAAAAAAATTCAATGCTCCTTTGTCAAATGAGCAAACTATTTAAAACTCATTTGTCAAATGAGCAAATGATTCTTGCTCATTTTGTCAAATTAATGCTCATTTGTAAGTGTGTTTGAATGTTTTAAATACGTTAGCCTACTAGCTCAAGGGTAGAGCATTGTGCAAATGCACAAAAGATGTGGGTTCGAATCCCACGTAGGTTTATTTATGTAATGTGGAGACACAAGTTTGTATGAGAGTTTAATTGTAACAAAGTTTATATAGTTATAAATCATTTCAAACCATTTTTTTTGCTCATATAATTTAGTACGAATTTGATTTTTTTTTTTTAATTAATTTTGTTTATAGAGATAACCTATTTAGGAATTGAACCTACATCCTCTATGCATTTGCATAGTGCTCTACCATTTGAGCTAATAGGTTTATCATATATTTTAAATCATTTTCTATGTTATAAATTTTTAATCAGCTCATTTGATAAATCAACAAAGAATTGTTTGCTCATTTGATAAAATGAACAAAGAATTATTTGCTCATTTGACAAATGAGCAACTATCCATATGATATTCATAAGACTATGATGCCAAAATAGCATAGGCCATATATATACTCCAACTAGACACATTAACTGATGAGAGGCAGGAAAATTAAAACCAACTAGGTGTTTGTTCTTGTAGTTGTAACTGGTGTTTGCCCCTTAGCTGGAACTTTGGCCACCATAAAGCGCAACTCGTTGGCGATTTCTGTGAAGTTCGGCCTCTGTAGTGGGTCTACAGCCCAGCATCTCTCCATCAGTGATCTCCACTCTGGGTCACAATTCACAGGAACAGGTGGTCTCAAGGTGTTGCTCATTTGATAAATGAGCAAAGAATTGTTGCTCATTTGATAAATGAGCAAGAATTGTTGCTCATTTGATAAATGAGCAAGAATTGTTGCTCATTTTGATAAATGAGCAAAGAAATTGTTTGCACATTTGATAAAAGAGCAAGAAATTGTTTGCTCATTTGATAAATGAGCAAAGAATTGTTGCTCATTTGATACATGAACAAAGAATCGTTGCTCATCACATATTATCAAAACAAGCAGCGAAGTACCTATGAGTTTTGGACAAGAACATATTATCAAAGAAAAACTTTCACATTGATTTCAGAACAAAATAAGCTAAAGCCTCCTCCAATACAAGATAGATATGCCAGCTGCAAGTATCTGTGAGTTTTGGACAAGAACATCAATTACGGCAAGATACGGAGCTACAGTCAGGGTATTATTAATGAAGTGAACACGATTCTGAATCTTTTTCTCTGTAACAAAGCTGCGGAGCTCTGTTTCAAATTTAGTTTGTGCACTTATATCACTTCCTACTACTATTGCGTGAACAGGAGGCACCTACAACTTCTTTTCTTTAATAATCTGCAGGCTTTCCTGGAATGCGTGCAGAAATAGATCCTGACCTTTTCCTCGAGATACACCTGCAGGCACAGAAAGGGCACTGTTCGTAAACCAATTTACCTTAGATAACAGTCCCGTTGAACAAAAAGAAGCATACACTCATCCTAAATCAAAACAACACCTATGCACTTCAAGAGAGCTCCTTGCCTTTTATATTTACTTTCATTCTAAACGTCTCAACAGTTGCTATTATATAGCTAGTTCATATAGATAATAGCAGAGCATGAAAAAAAAAAGGGAAACCTAGTCACATATTATCAAAGAATTGATTGCTCATTTGATAAAAGAGCAAGAAATTGTTTGCTCATTTGATAAATGAGCAAAGAATTGTTGCTCATTTGATACATGAGCAAAGAATCGTTGCTCATCACATATTATCAAAACAAGCAGCGAAAGAAACTTATACGTTACATATTATCAAACCAACTTCTGTTTTTAGCACTCATTTTACATGGAAAACATCTAATTCTACCAACTACATTCTCCTTAAGCCGAGTAATCATTTGATCGGCATTAATAGTTCCTTGTTCAATTCCATGTGATATCATTCCTCAAACGACAAATGCAATATTGGGCTTCAGCTAGACAGCTAAAGCCGCAAAGACAACCTGTTTCTGAAATTTTGTCAAATTCTGGGTTCTTTGAATATATCTCAGAATGCTAAAATAGCTCCTAATAGGAGCAGAGTTATTAAGCCAATTATAAATCTGCTTCAAAAAAGGCATTGCTAACCAAAAACACACTTGTCATGATCACACATAACCAATTTCTACAATCTGACCCGAGTCTTGAGTCTCATACACATTGCTAACCAAAACAGAATATGTGCTTAGGCACTGATAATTTGTTCCACACAAACTCAGCCAGTTTCCTCAATTTAACCCTCCAAACAACCTGAATCAGCCACCTCCATCTCACACGAACCAACAATACTTATAAATTTAGAACATAAGCATAAATAATAATTCAAAGCATGTCAAGGAAACAACAAATATTAATTCGAATAGATACAACACAACGAGACTAGTATACAAAATATTAGTCGAAAATCGCCCAAAAAATCATCAAAATCTTTGAAAATCACTAGACGAAAAAGGTAATTTGGCACCGGTTCAAACCCCCCCTAAGGCACCGGTTTTGAACCGTTGGGGATTTGAGGGATGTCAAATCCTCAAAAATTTGGCACCGGTTCAAAACCGGTGCCAACTAAAGGCTTTGGCACCGGTTAACCGGTGCCAACTTCAAAGGCGCGATTTTTTTTATTATTATGAACACTATTGGCACCGGTTTTAAGCAAGAACCGGTGAAAAAAACCTCACTTTTGGCACCGGTTCTGGTCCAAATCGGTGCCAAAAATACCCCTAAAAAATAAAAATAAAAATAATAAATTTTTTTTTACATTTTTTTCACTTAAATTGATCTAAAAACATTAACATATATATAAAGTTACATATTTTCATTAAAAAAGGTTGTAATATTACAATTTTCGTCCAAAAAAAATTAAATAATATTACAACCTCGCAGCCCACCAAAACAGCAACACCAAATCACACCACTACTGTACATCACCCAAACCAGCAGCCCAACCAGTGCAGAGCAGGCACCAGTAGGTCCTTGAAGAACAGCAGTCAGACAGCACCAGCTGAGCAGAAAGCTTCAAGGATTAGCCCATAAAACCTAGCACTCAGCAACACAGAATCAGAGCAAAGCAAATCAGCAAAACTGCAACTGAAAAACTGACCAGACCAAACGCAAACAGCATCATAGCAATCTGAACCATAGCAGAACAGTCCCAGGGTCACAGAAACACAAACTGCACCAGAGCAAAGACACCAGCACAGTAGCCACCACATCAGAACCAAGCTCAGGAACGCAGAACAGCTACACAACAGGCCAGCAGAAAGACAGACCATAGCAAACCAGCAGGGACAGAAAAAACAGAAGCTCTGAGCAGGCACAGGAACAGTCAAACAACCCTAGCACACTGACTAGCTCAGCATCACAGTAGAACACAGCCTGCAGCAGCACACAATAGACAAAACAAGAGCTAGAGAAACAGCAACTCAACCCAGCAGATAGAAAAGACAAACAGGGCATGAATCAAAGCTGAACAGACACCAGAACACACGCCGAATCCAGAATTCAGCAAGGCACACAGAGAAGAAACATACAGAAAACCAGGCCAGCAAGAAAAACAGGGAAGAGCATGAATCAGGCCTTCCCTTTCCTATTTTACCTCCTGAATCTGTTGACGACATAGATAGGAAAGAACCCACAAACACCCCCTCCGACAATTTTCCTCCACATATCTGCAGGGATAGTAATATATTGTCACAATAACCACCTCGATGTCAAATTTATGCCTAAAAAATAATTCAATAAAGTACAACTTTGAATCCTGAGACTTTACCGTAGCAGTTATGCCACACAAAAACATGAACACGATAATTTAAAGCATCCCACCGAGAGCAGATACAGGCCCTACTGCTCTGAGCTGCACCAAATTACAGTTAATACAGCTTCTACCATAAAATATGAATACATTTAAATTTTGATTTATTTATGTTCATTTGCTCAAAATGAACACATATAGTTAATGTAATGAAACTCTCCATCAAAAAAGTCAAATTAAAAGCAACAGCAAGAACACAGATAAAGATATAATCAGGGGGGAAAAAAAACAAATCTGCCTTGGTCATGGATAATTCCAATCCTAAAGCAAATAGAAGGAACACAACACCAAATTGTGCAACAGTTTCAACCTATGCAGAAGAAAACATGTAAAAAAAAATACAGAACGATTAGATGACTGAAGAAACAAGTTCCCAAAATTTGGTAAAGCTAAACACATGTAAAAAGAGAAATTATCAATGGGAATGGATTAAAAGCTACACACAAAAAACATTCATCTATACAAGTCTCTCTTCTCAAAAGGTCACACTTTATGGTTCAAATTTCAATACACAAGTCATAGTAACAAATGTTGATACAATACTGTAATAGACTGGCTTTAGGTGGGGTAATTTGGGAAGTGTACTATTAAATCAGAATTATAAACCCAGAAAATCAGTCCATTACAAATAACCCTTCTCTCTCTCTCTCTCTCTCTCTCTCTCTCTCTCTCTCTCTCTCTCTCTCTCTCTCTCTCTCTCTCTCTCTCTTCTCTCACACACACACAATACGAAAAAAGAAATGTTCTATGTTCACTGTTGTACAATAAACTACATATTTCCTTCTCTACATGCTGTCTTTAAAATACTTCTGTGGATTTAATGACCTTGACGTAAAATATGATATTGAGGCGACCACAAAAGCTGAGGAAGAGCACGAAAAACTAAATATTTGTAAATCATACGAACAAATACTCACGACAAGTTATAAGCAGAGCACGTCATAGAATTTCTAATATATTTATAAAGAAACAAGGCAGTCTAACTTCACCTGAACCATTTCACTGATACAATTTAGACCTCCTGGCCCAATCATTGATCCCGCAAGGAGGTAGCCAACAATAACCTGCATTTCAGTTATGAGAGCTAAAAATATTGATAATACTACTCAGACAGCCATGAATTAGAGGTACACCACTTGAAACAACTCTATCACCACTTGGTTCCCATAGAGAAAGGACATAACATCATATTTGCTGTTTCAAATAACATCGCAGGAACTATATATTCTCACTCTTACATCATTTTATCAGCAATGCATTAAGTAAAGAAAAAATCCATCCAAGTATAATCTAAGAAACAAGATCAACTATCCCAGCTAAGCACATATAGCTATTTGTCACAGCCCACTAAGGCAAAATACAGAACCAGTACCACAATACTATTTTACCACTCCAATCGCATTACATGTATCCCTAATGTACAAATAGATCCACCACCAGACCAAAGTAATCTAGAGAGAGAAAATAAAAATAAAAATAAAACTAGAGAGAGAAAGCAAATCAAGTGGACAAACCAAGTAAAAATCAGTGATAACAAAAGCAAGTACATTTCCTCTCTGACATCTTCGATTCTAGACTTGAATCCCTACAAGTACATAGTAATAAAAGATCAATGATATATATGGGATTGATCACTAATCACGGTAGTAAAGCCAAGGGCCAATCCAATGGTTGAGTAGGCAATTGACATGATGGCAGCCAAGATAGAAAGCCATTTCATGTTGTGGAAATCAGGTATCTGAGACATTATGATCTGAACACATCCAAACAGCAGCATGTAAATGCCATCTCCATAAGAACAAGATGCTTGGTGCCCTTCTTTATGGTAGCAGTTTGATTTTTGAATAGATCTGTATCATTGATTTTATTCAAGTGGATCAGAGACTCGAAAGAGGATAGACTAGCTTGCTTAATTAGACTGATTTTTTAAAAAAAAAAAAATAAAAGAAAAAGAAAAAATATGGACCATTCTGTACCAATGAACTAACAATTAAGCTAATAAATATAAAACATTCTCCGTGGAGATGGCATTTACATGCTGCTGTTTAACCTCAAATAGATTGTAATCTCTGAGCTACAAGTCATTTGCTACTGCACAATCTTCTCTCTTAGAAATTACTTTCTTTCACCCAATAACCCAAGACTTATGTTAAGCATAGGATCTACTGAAAGTAATAAGTTAAATACCCCACAACTAAGTTCACACATTTGAACAACACTTTCGAAAAAATCAAACAAAGCGAAATAATATCTAAACATCAATCTCACCATATGATGCTGAGTAAGATATCGAACAGTGTCACGAACACCAGAAGATATAAGATTCGAGGTAAAACCTAAAAACACTTTGCACCCCACGGATTCCCTGTAAACAAGATCCCTCTCTTCCTTGCTGCAATCTTCATCGGGTGTCTCATTTACCAGCCGCCAATCTAACTTGAACAACATAAAATACACAAATGAACACAAAATGAAAACGAGCTGAACAACACCTAAAATTAATAAACAGCTTAAAACTCAAACTAACCATTTGATTTACAACATCGATAGCATCACCAAGATTAGATGCTTGGAAACCGGTCGAGACGAACGATTTCAAAAGCTTGGGATAGTTCACTCCTTGATTAAAATCATAACCCTCAATCTTAATACATTTCCCTTCAAGGGTTTCTGATTCCTTGAACACTACAGAACGAACCGACGCCATTATATCATTATTATCCATATCTCAACACCTAGTACAGTTTATTACCACAATTAAAATTAACAACGGTGCAGGGTAACTAAGAAAGAGCAGAACTTTAAAGAAAGAAAGAACACGGAGAAGGAGTGCATTACCTTGCCGCAGAAACCCTAACCTCCAATATTGTAGAAAGAGAGAAGGAGATCGAAAGAGAGAAGAAAGGAAAGGGAAAGTGGCGGTTATGGAGAAGGAGATCGAAGGAGAGAGACGGAGTGTTAGGAAAGTGCTGAGAGAAAGCTCCGAAGTCCCTTCAATGGAGAAATTCGAGTATGCTACAGTGGAGGAGAGAGAGAGGCAGATCAGATGAGAAGAGGAAAGAGCAAGGAAATGATGAAGAAGAAGACGCGCGTTATAAACCGGGCTTTTTTTTTAATGGCACCGGTTTAAACCGGTGCTAATTACTAAAGTTGGCACCGGTTTAAGGCGAACCGGTGCCAACTCTATTGCTTTCTTTGTTTTTTTTTTTTTAAGGTTGGCACCGTTTGAACCGGTGCTAATTGTTTCGGGGTTTTTTGATGTGTCCTACGGAAGAGTTACAATTCCAAGAATGCCCTTCACCGCTTGTACCTGCAAAACCACGAAGTCGCCGGTTGGTTGGAGCTCCGCCTCCAACGATCAAGTCAGTTACGTACAGGAGGAAAAGTGTGCGTAAATAGTGAAATTACTTCTCACGTAATGGGAGAATTCTGCAATTAATATTTCTCAAGACTGGTGTATGTATTTATGAATGCCTGTTAATGAGGGTCCTTCCACTATTTATAGTGGGGAGTCTTGGTTCCCCATTTAGGGTTCATTGGACACGTGTCAGCAGGGGATTGGAGCCCTGCTGACCAATGGCTGGGTGCCGCGTGTCACTTGGCCATAGGGCCACGTGTCTGGGGTGTTTTTTACCCCAAACATTTGCCCCTCTCAGGTGCTGACATAAATTTTTTTTTTTTTAATCTCTTCAGATTCTAACTGAAGAAAGAGGGAAAAGTAGAAGGGGAAGGGTCGTGACTCTTCGCCTTCTGGGACAAACCCTATAAATAGGAGAAGGCACCCTCGAGCTCTCATTTACAAACTTCGTGAAATTTCTTGAATTTGAGAGCATCCGGTATTTAAGAGTTGAGAGCAGACGGAAATTTAATAGTTGAGAGCAGCCGGTTTTCAGACCGCCTGCGTTGTTGCGAGCAAGCAAAGGATTTTCGTGAGGGTACCCAAGGGAACTCAGCCGGTTTTCAGACCGTCTGTATCTTTGCAAGCATCCCCAAGAAATTTCTTGAGGTTTCAACAAATTCTCCCTTCCTCTAGGTACCGTCTCTATTCCTTCTCGCTTTTCCATGTATTTCCGTTTGCGTATTTTGCTTGTGTTTTTATTTATTAGTCCCATAAGTAGATGGACCCTTTATACCCATACCCGGAACATAGTTGTGAACTCAGCCGGTCAATTAGTACGGCTGAGTCTAGAACTGGATCTGCCGCCTCTGATCTTTGGAATTTTCCCTTTTCAACGCCTATATCGACCGATTCCGTGTCTGTGCAGGACACGATGGCCAGGATTAGGGGAACAGCTATGGACCCCAATTATAGAGGCGGGAACTCAGACGAGTTGTCGCCTGAGAGACGAGCCCTGGACGAGGTGGCTAGAGACTCACCCGGGGGCATCCCCGCCACCCCAAACGATATCATTTTAGGCTCCTACAACGAGGAGACATCCCCTGCTCAGGAGGCTGAGCTGCTAGGATCCGTCAACGAGGATCCCAACTCCCCATCCGGCTCTGATGCCGGTCGTATCGAAAGCAGTAGCACTAGCTACTTGACCTCGTCTGAAGATAGCGAGGAGGCGGAGAGGCCTACTTGGCAAAGTAGAAACGACCCTCTCATGATTGTTGTGTCCACAAAGGACAGGGCCCTCATGCGGTCCTCCCTGACGGACTTTGTCACCAAGCGGCCTCTAGGAGGGGGCTACAAACTGTCAATACCGGGGGAGTTTGGAACGGTTGTATGGGAGGATGACCAACCCAATGCAGACAGCTGGTTTGGGTGCTATGAAGCGGCCTTCCTGGCCGGGCTCCGCTTCCCTCTTCACAACACAATCAAGGCCATACTTAGGGGATATGGCCTAGGCGTCTGGCAACTCACCCCTAATTCCTGGGTGAACATACTCGGGTATATCGCCGCCTACGAGATGCAGGATCTCAACCCCGGCTGGGAGGCGTTTTCCCATATGCACTATTTGAGTAGAAGCCCAGGCGGCTGGAGGGCCTGGTACACTTTGACGACTTATCCCCAATACTTGATGACGCTAGATAAGCCGTCTAAATGGTCGGACTGGAAAAACCGGTTTTATCTGGTTAAAGCTCCAACTGAAGAGGAGAATAGGGAGTTCCGGACCTACAACCGGAAACCAGAACTTTTAGGGCTGAAGTGCCGGTTGCCCCCAGTGCCAGAGAACGATAGGGAGGCTATACTGGACTCCGGATTCTTTGAGCTAGTCTCTTCCACTCTCTCAACCGGAGAGATAATAAGGGTGCCCAAAAACTGGGTGCCCAAACATGAATTCTTTAAGGACGAGTGCTTCTTGTCCGCCTGCGGGCTTAGCAGCATGTTCGAAAGACGTAGGTTACGAGCCTCATCCGGTTAATTTTATGCCGGCTAGCAATTTTCTTTTGATTGCAATTGCGATATTATTATGATCTTGACCGGATGCATTTGATTTGTGTTTTGCAGAAGAAGCAAAGAACATGTTGCCCACCGCCAAAACACCCGCTAAAAAAGCTTCAGACATCCGGAAGGAGAATCTGGAGAAGAAGCTTGCCGCTCAGGCGGCTAAAAAGGTTAGACCGCCTGACTCTTTCTTAACTTGTTTGTCGTGGTGCTATTTTTGCTATATCTTCACCTGACCGTTTGTGACTTCGTTTCAGGATGGGGGCAAAACCCCTCGCTTCCTACAAAAACAGATCCGGCCACGGCCGACTGTTGAGGGGCCTACACATAAGGTGCAGAAAACTGCTTCAACCGCCCGGACTACTATCGGCTGTAAAACAATAAAGACCCCAGGCGGGTCTAATGCTGAAATGGCCTCGAAAGAGGTCACCCCAATAAGGACCAAAACCGGTCCATCTTCTGCCAGGGGCCAGAGAGCTTCCCAACAAGGTATAAACCCTTTCAACCTCACGCTGCTTGACCTACCCATGCGGGTTAAGTTATATTCTCAGTCTCAGCCGGGAGATTCTCTAATCAGCCGGCTGTCCGTAGGCGGAGCATATGCAGCTTTCTCACCGTCAGTTTCTGGTGCAGATAATTCTCCACGCTGGCCGGATGCTACTCAGTATGCCCGGGCCATGCTGAAAGCCGTTCCCCGGGACGAGAAGGAGGCGATTCCTGGAATCAACACCTTCAATGCCGACCGTGTAATGGTCGAGCTGGCTGATGTAAGTTGAAGAGTGCCCACCCGGCATTTTATTTGTAGTATGCACATCCGGTTTTCTACTAACACCAGTTGTATTGTTGCAGGCACTGCTCCGCGTGGAGGGGCTCAAGAAGGCCTACATCCGCAAACAAGAGGAGGTAAGAAGAGCCAAACGTTCTGCGGATGACGCACATAACGTTGCCCACTATTCAATGATTGTGTATGACTTAGAAACTAAATCTATAATCATGCGACAGGCGGACCAGGTCAAGACCCTCCGAAAAGCCCTCACTGAGTCCAAGACCAAGGCGGACAACCTCAAGGTGGCCCTGGACAATGCTGAAGAGGAGCTCAAGATGCATGAAGAGCCCCTCAAAAGGCTGGATCAGGCGGAGAAGACTAGCTCCCGCATGCAGAAAGAAAATGACCGCCTGGTCAAAGAGGCGGCTGCTGCACAGGGCAATTTCCAGGCCACCCTTGAAGCTGAACAGAGCCGCTCATTGAGGAGAATGAGCAGGACTGCGAGAACCGGATGAAAAGGGCGTTCTCCATTATCCATCCGGGTACAGACTACAACGTCTGGGAGCTCGCCTACAAATACGCAGATCTTGCCATTCTGGCTGAGGAAGAGGGCAAGCCGGGGCCTGAACCCTATGAACAGTGGATTGAGGCGGAGTTCAAGCGGATGCAGGAGGAGGCGGTTGGCAACGAGGAGGCAGTCGAGGATGAGGTTGTTCCCGGCTCCGTTCCCACCACCGACCCATCTTATCCGGAAAGAAATCAGGCTCAGGCTGACCGGGTGACTGTGCAGCTAGAATAGCAACGACCTCCCGGCCTGCGTGCCGTGCATTATTTTGTAATAGCGCCGGAAGGGTCGGCTTATTCTGCTGTTGTTTTTTATTTTGAATATTGATATACATTTTCGCCGGCTGTGCCGGTTTTATTTGTAAACATTTCCACCAGCTGAGCCGGCTTTTGAATGAATTTCTTCTGCACTTTCTTTGCAAGAAATTAAAATTTTGCTTACTTTTTGCAAGTATATTTCCCCATGACCCCCAACCAGACTTTGCTTACTTTTTGCAAGTATATTTCCGCATGACCCCCAACCAGACTTTGCTTACTTTTTGCAAGTATATTTCCGCATGACCCCCAACCAGACTGGATGGGGTTAGGGTAATTGCCCCTGGATAGGAGGCTGGCAGAAGTGACATTGTGCCAGGCGGCTATCCATATGCCATATCACAAATATTAATAATTTAAGTAAGTGCTAACATTAGAATGAATGCCAGCCGGTTTCTACTGATTTGCCGACTGGTAATTTTGTAAAGGCCTTTTCATAGGCTTAGGGTGTCCATTTGCTGATTGGGCTTTTGCAAGAACACCCTTACATAGGTTATGGCCTAAACCAAATGTCTGAGGCCTGCCTTCTCTTAGTGGATCAGGCGGCAACATTGAGTACCGGCTGTCTGTTTTGAGACCAGCCTTTGGTGGTACTTTTCTCAAAGAGTGAGCTGGCTGCATGTTTGGGAATGCTAGCCTGCGTTTCTTTGGTGCAATGGATTATTCAGGCGGCGAGGGCCGCCTGAAGTTTGATCACTAGAACAATTTTCCACCCAAATGGGAGATGCTCTCTTCGATTAATTTACCCGTATGGGTGTCACCGGATGATTCGTTAGTTCTCAGGGCCGCTTGTGATGAGCACAAGACATGGCGCATGGAAATTTTATAAGAAGATCCGCTTGTGGTAAACACAAGACATGGCGCATGTAAGCATAATATGTAGTAAATTTTACTCATTAATCATGCAGAAGTTTACAAAAGCTATACAATTTTTAGAAGTAGTACTTTTTGAGATTGTCTACATTCCAGTGTCTAGGCAGCTTTCTATCGTCTGGGGTTTCCAGGTGGTATGTACCGTCTCGTACTT